CTTTGGCTCTGGCTCTGGCTCTGGCTTTGACTCTGGCTCTGGCTCTGGTTCTGGTTCTGGTTCTGGCTCTCGCTCGGGTTCTGGGTCTGGCTCTGGCTCTGGCTTTGGCTCTGGCTCTGGCTCTGGCTCTGGTTCTGGTTCTGGTTCTGGTTCTGGTTCTGGTTCTCGCTCTGGTTCTGGCTCTGGCTCTGGCTCTGGCTCTGGCACCGGTTCTGGCTCTGGCTCTGGCTCTGGTTCTGGTCTGGCTCTGGCTTTGACTCTGGCTCTGGCTCTGGCTCTGGTTCTGGCTCTGGCTCTGGTTCTGGGTCTGGTTCTGGCTCTCGCTCTGGTTCTGGTTCTGGCTCTGGTTCTGGCTCTGGCTCTGGCTCTGGCCCTGGTTCTGGCTCTGGCTCTGACTCTGGCTCTGGCTCTGGCTCTGGTTCTGGCTCTGGTTCTGGCTCTCGCTCTGGTTCTGGTTCCGTCTCTGGCTTTGGCTCTGGCTCTGGCTCTGGTTCTCGTTCTGGATCTGATTCTGTTCCGGCTTCTGGTTCTGGTTCCTGTTCTGGCTCTGGTTCTGGTTGTGCCCCTGGTTCTGCTTCTGGTTGTGCCTTTGGCTCTGGTTCTGGCTATGGCTCTGTCTATGGCTCTGGCTCTGGCTCTGGCTCAGGCTTTGGTTCTGGTTCTGGCTCTGGCTCTGCTCGCTTGGCTCTGGCTCTGCTGCTGGTTCTTGTTCTTGGCCCTGCTCTGGCTCTGGCCTCTCGCTCTGGTTGTCTTGCTTGGCCTCGGCTCTTGTCTGGGTTCTGCTCTGGCTCTGCTCTGGCTCTGACTCATGGTTTCTGCTTTTGTGGTTCTGGCTCTGCCCTCTGGCTCCGTTCTGGCTCTGGCTCCGGCTCTGGCTCTGGTTTCGGCTTCTGTTCTGGTTCTGGCTCTCTTCTGCTCTGGCTTCTGCTCTGTTCCTGGTTCTGGTTCCTGCTGGCTCTCGCTCTGGTTCTGGCTCTGGCCTTCTGCTCCGCTCTGGCTCTGGTTCTGGCTCTGGCTCTGGCTCTGCTTTGGCTTTGGCTCTGGCTCTGGCTCTGGTTCGGTTCTGGTTCTGGCTCCTCGCTCTGGTTCTGGCTCTGCTCTGGCTCTGGTTCTGGCTCTGGCTCTGGTTCTGGCTCTGGCTCTGGCTCTGGTTCTGGTTCTGGTTCTGGCTCTCGCTCTGGTTCTGGCTCTGGCTCTGGCTCCGGCTCTGGCTCTGGTTCTGGCTCTGGCTCTGGCTCTGGCTATGGCTTTGGCTCTGGCTCTGGCTCTGGTTCTGGTTCTGGTTCTGGCTCCCGCTCTGGTTCTGGCTCTGGCTCTGGCTCTGGCTCTGGCTTTGGCTCTGGCTCTGGCTCTGGCTCTGGCTCTGGCTCTGGTTCTGGTTCTGGTCTCGCTCTGGTTCTGGCTCTGCTCTGGTCCTGGATCTGGTTCTGGCTCTGGCTCTGGCTCTGGCTTTGGCTGGCTCTGGCTCTTCTGGTTCTGGTTCTGGCTCTCGCTCTGGTTCTGGTTCTGGCTCTGGCTCTGGCTCTGGCTCTGGCTCTGGCTCTGGCTCTGGCTCTGGCTCTGGCTCTGGTTCTGACTTTGGCTCTGGCTCTCGCTCTGGTTCTGGTTCTGGCTCTGGCTCTGGCTCTGGTTCTGGCTCTGGTTCTGGCTCTGGCTCTGGCTCTGGCTTTGGCTCTGGCTCTGGCTCTGGCTTTGACTCTGGCTCTGGCTCTGGTTCTGGTTCTGGTTCTGGCTCTCGCTCGGGTTCTGGGTCTGGCTCTGGCTCTGGCTATGGCTCTGGCTCTGGCTCTGGCTCTGGTTCTGGTTCTGGTTCTGGTTCTGGTTCTGGTTCTCGCTCTGGTTCTGGCTCTGGCTCTGGCTCTGGCTCTGGCCCCGGTTCTGGCTCTGGCTTCTGGCTCTGGCTTCTGGCTCTGGCTCTGGCTGGTTCGGGGTCTGGCTCTGGCTCTGCTTTGCTCTGCTCTTGCTCTGGCTCTGGTTCGTCTGGGGCCGCTTTGGACTCTGGCTCTGGCTCTGGCTCTGGCTCTGGCTCTGGCTCTGGTTCTGGTTCTGGTTCTGGCTCTCGCTCTGGTTCTGGTTCTGGCTCTGGTTCTGGCTCTGGCTCTGGCTCTGGCCCTGGTTCTGGCTCTGGCTCTGACTCTGGCTCTGGCTCTGGCTCTGGTTCTGGCTCTGGTTCTGGCTCTCGCTCTGGTTCTGGTTCGTCTCTGGCTTTGGCTCTGGCTCTGGCTCTGGTTCTCGTTCTGGATCTGATTCTGTTCCGCTTCTGGTTCTGGTTCCTGTTCTGGCTCTGGTTCTGGTTGTGCCCCTGGTTCTGCTTCTGGTTGTGCCTTTGGCTCTGGTTCTGGCTATGGCTCTGTCTATGGCTCTGGCTCTGGCTCTGGCTCAGGCTTTGGTTCTGGGCTGGGCTCTGGCTCTGGCTCTGGCTTTGGCTCTGGCTCTGGCTCTGGTTCTTGTTCTGGCTCTGGCTCTGGCTCTGGCTCTGGCTCTGGTTCTGGCTCTGGCTCTGGCTCTTGTTCTGGCTATCGCTCTGGCTCTGGCTCTGGCTCTGACTCTGGTTCTGGCTTTTGTGTTTCTGGCTCTGCCTCTGGCTCTGGTTCTGGCTCTGGCTCTGGCTCTGGCTCTGGTTCTGGTTCTGGTTCTGGTTCTGGCTCTGGTTCTGGCTCTGGCTCTGGCTCTGGTTCTGGTTCTGGTTCTGGCTCTCGCTCTGGTTCTGGCTCTGGCTCTGGCTCCGGCTCTGCTTTTGGCTCTGGCTCTGCTTCTGGCTCTGGCTATCGCTCTGGTTCTGGCTCTGGCTCTGGCTCTGGCTCTGGTTCTGGTTCTGGTTCTGGTTCTGAGTATGGCTCTCTCTCTGATTCTGGCTCTGGCTCTGGCCCTGGTTCTGGTTCTGGCTCTCGCTCTGGTTCTGGCTCTGGGTCTGGCTCTGGCTCTGGTTCTGGTTCTGGCTCTGGTTCTGGCTCTCGCTCTGGTTCTGGCTCTGGCTCTGGCTCTGGCTCTGGTTCTGGTTCTGGCTCTGGCTCTCGCTCCGGTTCTGGCTCTTGGTCTGGCTCAGGCTCGGGCTCTGGCTCTTGTTCTGGTTCTGCTTCTTGTTCAGGTTCTGGTTCTGGCTCTCGCTCTGGTTCTGGCTCTGGCTCTGGGTCTGGCTCTGGTTCTGGTTCTGGCTATGGCTCTGTCTATGGCTCTGGCTCTGGCTCTGGCTCTGGCTCAGGCTTTGGTTCTGGTTCTGGCTCTGGCTCTGGCTCTGGCTCTGGCTCTGGCTCTGGCTCTGGCTCTGGCTCTGGCTTTGGCTCTGGCTCTGGCTCTGACTCTGGCTCTGGCTTTGGTTCTGGTTCTGGTTCTGGCTATCGCTCTGGTTCTGGTTCTGGATCTGGCTCTGGCTCTGGTTCTGGTTCTGGTTCTGGTTCTGGTGCTGGCTCTCGCTCTGGTTTTTGCTCTGGCTCTGGCTCTGGCTCTGGTTCTGGTTCTGGTTCTGGTTCTGGTTCTGGCTCGCGCTCTGGTTCTGGTTTTGGCTCTGGCTCTGGCTCTGGCTCTGGCTCTGGTTCTGGTTCTGGTTCTGGCTCTCGCTCCCGCCTGAGATTTTTTAAACTTACTCACGAATGGCGCTCTCGCTTACGATTCTTTGACATTTTTCCTGCCCGCCCGGCCCGCCTGTCAGGGTCCGCCCGCCCACCGTGGGCTCCCCGCCTGAGACTTCGCACAATTTTCGCGGGACCCCCGCTCCCGCCCGAGACTTCCTTGAAGAATGGCGCTCTGGCGGTTTAGGCTTAGACGTTTCGGAAACAGATTTGCGACATCAGATGTCTGAGTCGGCTGCGTGTTCTTTCGGCCGGATTGCGATCTGGGCCGCGATCTTCGCAGTGCAGCGTTTCTGGTGCTTCTCCGCCCTCTCCCGCTGATGCTGGGCTCCCGCAATGTAGGCAAGACCCCCCCCCTCCCGCCTGGCTTCACTTTTTATTCAGGAATGGCGCTCCCATTTAAGACTTCCGTAGAATTTAGTCAGGGCCCCCGCTCCCGTTCTGGAGATGTTTGCCTCCGCTTTTTAGTCAGGGCCCCCGCTCCCGCATGAGACGTCCTCGCAGTTTATTCAAGGCATTCGTTCCGGCTTAAGACTTCCTCAGAAATTGGTCAGGACCCCCGTTCCCTCCAGAGAGTTCCATACGATTTACTCAGGATTGGCGCTCTCGCCTGGGTTATCGTACTCCTCCCACTCCGTGCTCCCCCATCTCTTCTTGCTCATTCCCCCCTCCTCTTCCATCTCCCCTCCTGCTGCTCGCCGAGAGAGCAACCTGGAGCCCGCACGGGAGAGGCAGAACCTGGGTTCTCGTAATCATCCCACTCCGTACTCCCCCATCTCTTCTTGCTTATGCCCCCCTCCTCTTCCATCTCCCCTCCTGCTGCTCGCCGAGAGATCAACCTGGAGCCCGCACGGGAGATTGTATTTGCCCTGAGGCCCTCTTAGGAGGTGCGCTGAGAATTCCGGTCCTGTCGGGGTGTGACCCCCAAGGTAGACCCCGCTGGCGTGTTCGTCAGAAGCATTCCACCACTACTTTTGTTGGTTTTGCACTACTCCCTCCCCTCTCCTTCCTCCCCTTCCTCCTCCTCCCTTGACTCACTTCTCACCCTACCTTTCTGTGCTTCTTGGGGCGTTTCTGTTCCACCAGACGGGTGCGCGCTTGGAAAGATTCACTGAATTCAGTCCCGGGTAGGTCTGGGGTATCACTTCTTGCACGAGGATCTAGGTCTCCAGCGACACAAGACAGTCGATCGTCTTAGTTCCAGCGCACTCCCGCTTCGAATATCTTATGTTACACGAGGCTCGAGTTTCCGCCTGCTTCTTCCTGCTGCTGCCTCTTCCTCCGTGTTGCTTGCCATCGCACTCATCTGCGACACCATTCCTCCTCGTGCTCGCCCCCATCTCTTCCTGCTCACAACACAGTTGCCGTCTTGGCTCAAGGCAGGCTTCTTCTCGGTACCGGTCAGCGCCGTTCTGCAGCCTCTCTGCCCCGATGCCACAGCAGCAGGAGCCCCGGATCAACGCGCGGCAGCTGGAGCACGAGTATGGCCACGTATTGCGTGCTGTACCTTTTTCTGACAAAACGACCCCTCGGCAGATCTTGCGCCAGTGGGAACGCACGTACCCCGACGTGTCCGTCGCGGAAGGGGTCTTCCGTACTTGGTTCGACAAGCACCGTGCCGCTGCGGATCTCGAAACAATCCATGGGTATGTAGCGCTGGAGGCCCGTGCCGGTGAGAAGCTCCGGCAGTTCCAGGGAGAGGGGCGGCACAGCAGTTTCAAGCTTGTCCGGGAACTCCGGAGCCAGGCCGGGCTCAACACGACCGATGCCGTCATGAGGGAGTGGATGCGGCATCATGGCGGTGGCGCGCCATCCTGGTGTTCGTCGGCGCAGGATTTGGAGCAGCGCGTGGGTCAACGTCTGCGTGAATACCTCGCCGAGGAGACTGCGGCGGGGGATGCCGACAGTATAAAGCAATGGCTTGCTGATCAGCAAATCGCCTGCCCAATCAGGATCATCAAGCATTGGCTCAACGTGGACTTCTCTCCCGAAGGGGCTGTTGAGTCAGGCGAGGCATTGGAGTTGGCTATTGGAGACGTCTTACGTTCCATTGGTTATTCTCAGTTCTTCGAGTCCGAAGAATCCAGAGGCCGTCTTGTCGAGCATCTCAAAGGCCTCGACCCTCCCATCAGGTGCACGCTGGACGTGCTCGCTGCGTGGTGCGGGACCTTTTATCCGGGCCCGGGCGGCAATGCGCTCGAAGCCGACAGCGCGCACACCTTGGATACCTTGTTGGGCGAGGACCGAGTTCATTACGCATTGGATGGTGCGAGACCACTGGTCCAGCATCTGGCTTCTCGTTGGCAGCCGATTCAAGCCTCGCACAAAGTCTGCCGCACGTGGCTCGAGAGTCTTCCAGACGCCCTCAAGTCGGCGGCCCGAGCCCGCAGCGCGCCGAGGACTTTGAACGCTCGCCGACTTCGTCAGAAGTCCAAGGACCCGCTGCCCCTGCTGCAGACCTTCGAGGATGTCGAGCGCGTCCTGGGGCAGGCTTTGCGCCATCGTCATCTGAAGTATGGTTTTGGTCACGGCCAGGCAGAAGGAGTTCGGATTGTCCAGAGTGAAGGGCACGGCGTGAGCAAGACCACGTATCAGGCACCGGATACCGACGCCGAGCGTTCTGCCCCATCTTGAAAGTCTATTACATTTTTTCGATGCCCGTTGCCAGTCTTACCACCCCGATGGGGCCCCGCGTTCAAAGCTGCGTGGCCCCTTCGGCGTCCCTGGGGCCCGGGTTGTTTCGAGAATGCATGAAATTTGACCGCTTGGCGTCGTTATCCGTCAGACTTGGTATGATCATCACGGTACGGCGCATGTCGTTCACGTCGGGGCGGCTTTCTGGAATGCCCACCGCGAGCTGATCGTGCGCAAGTACACGTGCGACAACATGTCGGCTTACGACATCAGCAAAGACCTCAAGAGGGAGTTCCACGTCGCCATGCGGCCTTACAATTTGCAGCAGTGGCTGCGCCACCCCGCGCAGAGGTTGACGTCCCTGCAGAGCGTCCAGGATATCGAGAGTCACGGGTGCGCGAATTTCGTTTTGGACCAGATGCAGACAGGAGTGCCCGTTGAGCGCGTTGCTCACAGTGTTCGCCGGGAGTACCTCGTCATCGCGAGCGCCCAGACGCTCCGGGCCTACCGCAGGTACAAGGAGCAGGCCGGCAACCCCCGCACCGCGCCGTGGATCGAGCAGCGGTGGTGGCGCTGGCTCTATGAGCAGATTACTGAGGGTTCCTCTTTCGGGCGCCCCAATAGGGGCGGCGTTGGCGGCCTGCGCATGGAGGTGGGCCCCGGGCCAGAACTGTCTCTTCTGCACCAGCGGTTCTGCGACCGCGCCGAGCTTTCGATCGGCATGGTACCAATGCCGGAATTCCGCAAGTTTTTCAACAAGCACGAGCAGCTCGCGCAGTTGCGGTTCAAGTACCCGGACGCCATCATATATAAAGAGTATTTGCAGATCAACTCGGTTGACGCCTTCCGCAGGGCCATTCGCCGCGTGCAGCACGGCGAGCCGCTCCCCGAGTCCGCTGGCAGACTCCTCAGAGACACCAAGGCAGACGGGGTGCACGAGAAGGTTTTGCAGTGTTGCGCGGAGGTTGCCGCCGCCGACAAGATGCTTTGTTTCCCTGTGAACAGCGCGGTTGGGAATACGACCGTGGCTTACGCCGCGAGTATCTGCGAGGACTTGCATGCGTGCCAGACGTGGGCCGGTTCCAGCGTTGGCACGCAACATCGTGGATTTTGCCGGCGACTGCCAGACACGGATTTTGCCATATGGGCATGCTACGGCAGTTGGCAGCACTGCCCTTGCTGCGGGTGCTTCTCTTTCAACGATGAAGGGTTCAAGAGTCTGTACAACGGCACATCTGCTCAGGTCCCGGCGTCAGAAGTGCTGCATTCCCGTCGGGAGATCCCGTCCGATCCAGTCAAGCACTCTGGCCACGCAGAGCTCGGACCGACGTCGTACTGGTGGGTGAGCCCAACCATGTACAAGCCCTCGGCCTCCGTGGAGCACGCGTGTGGCAAGTGCACGCCAGCGGCAGAGCACCCTCGGCCCATCGCTCATCCGGGAGAGATGGCCGCTCGCATCCTCCGAGCCAAGGCTCGAGCCAAGGCCGCCGCCAGGGCCAGGCCTGCAGCCAAGGCCAAGGCGGCGGCGGCTGCCGCTGCCATCGGGGCCGATAAAATGGAACCAGTCTTGCGCACGCAGCAGTTGTATCGAGTTCCTCGTCTACCGCCAGTGGGCCAAAACATACCGTCGACCTGGGCCGGCGAAGTGGCATCGTGGCCTCGGCTCGCGCCCGGAGCGAGCGAGTTCTCCATGTCGGCCGCAGAGGGATGCACGTTCCTGGACTTTTCACATGACGAGAAAAAGGCTTTACGTGTCATCGTCATCCACGTGCAGAAGAAACAAGAGATGTTCAGCGCCAACCCTAACATTCCGAGCCATTACAAGAACTGGAAGAAGACCGGCGTCAGCAAAGGCTTCTACGCACCTCACATCGTTGACGAGCGCAGCCTTCCCACAGCTCGTTGCAAGGCGGCTTTTCGCTGGTTGGTCAAAAACAATGGCTTTTACGAGGCCTTCTTGAACGCGTCCAACCGCACGCACACGAATCCGGATCAGCACGGCCAGCACATCCGCACATTTGACCTCCTCGTGACATTCAAGGGCGTCGAGTGCGCGGCTTGGCCCTGGCTCTACCCCACCGCGGACTTCACGGACACCGGCATTCCCCGGCTTCTCGCTGAGTTCCACGATGATAAGCAGAATCGCACAATTTCCAGCGGGTATTCGTTCAACCGCAAGGCTTTGAGCGAGGTTCGCGCATACGCCGAGGATCCAGATCTCGTCTTTTTCATGTTCGAGGTGCAAATGGCCAGCAAGTTCTTCGCAGCGCACTCCCTTGCGCAGCAGAGGAACGTCACCGCCGACGTTATGATGCGGACTTCTCAGACGAGCACTGGCTATTGGGATATTGTCCGCGACTCGCTCTCTGATCTCGTGCGCGTTCAGATGTGGAAGTGCCACGACCAGCAAGGCCACAAGGAACTCTACGATCACTGCAGGGACGCTGCCGGGGACGAGAAATGGATGGCGGCTTTCCCAAATCTGTTCATTACGATCGCCCCGGCCGAATGGAAGTTCCCAGTGCCGTATTGGTTGCGGCCGTATCGAGAGCACTTGGTCAGCGGCGCCTACTGCATCGGCATTCACATGTACTTGCTGGTGCTGTCTATCTGGGCTTTCCTGTGCAACCACCTCGGCCATCGCTGGTTCCGGGTCATGGAGTACGCAGTCCGAACGGAATACCAGGGTAGAGGCACGCCGCATTGGCACATTTGCGCGTGGGTGTTGACTGCCGCAGGCGTGTCCCTTGCTTCGCTCGCGGGGCGAGTAGGCGTGAGCGGTCAAGCTTTGGCTGCCGCCGTGGGCTTCGTCAAGTTTCTGGGCGTTCTTTTCATGTGCGAGATCGACGTGCAGGTGGGCAACGGCCGGCTCAACTACATCAACGGCTACTGCACGAAGGGACACGACGCCGTCGACGTGGGTTTGGGCGAGTACGTGCAAACCAAAAACACAGCGCCTTGGCTGGCGACTTTTGGTCTTCTCAGCAAGATGACGCCGTCCATACCAGAGTGCGCCATTCGTCTTGCCCAGTACCCCGAGTTCGACCGGTCTTATTCGCACGAGTTGCTATTTCCGCCGCAGCCCGACGCCATCGCCGCGGTGTTCGACGCGCAGGGAGACGCATGCCTCGGCGACCATGGTGGCAATTTTAGCTGGAGCATGTACAAGTCCTACCACAATGAAGTGCGGGAACATGTCAACTCAAACGCACCAGTCAACCAGTCCTTCTTGCAGTGGCATCGCCACTACAAGTGGGATCGGAATGGCAACAGGGCAGAAGGCCGCAAAGGCAAGAACATCTCATACGGCAGGTCCCCCACCATGGTCTGCGCGTGCCGGTATTGGTACGAACTCACAGATGGGTATTGGGGGCAGATGTCTCTCACGCAGATCCCTCACAGATCGCCGCGCGACCTTTTGCCACTCCCAGACCAGCCGCACCTAGAGAACATGAAGAATTTCTTCGGCTTCCTGGCGTACCTCCGGACCTGGCGGTTTTGCAGGTACGATCGCGACGACCACCCTGGTTTCGTCATTCGTTCAGGCGAGTTCGAGTTCCGAGAGTCCGCGCTGCCATTGGATGTTCAGGACAGCGGTGCTCTTGTACTGATCGGTGAATCCATTGGTACTCGGCCTGCGCCCGATGCAGACTTGAGCTCGGCGCCGTATGTTTTCCCTACGGACAAGCACGCCTTCCAATGGATGGCGGACATATGCAGTCGGGATCTCTCTTACCGTGGGTTCCGTGAAGATCGTGTAAAGACGTTCGTTATGTACGCGCAGGCAGAGTTCTTGCTGCATCGCCGCGTCCTCCAGTGCGCCGGCGACCACGCCGAGGTCACGAAGCTCAAAGATGAGTGGGAGAGGGTCCGTCGCCCGCCGCGCAAGGTCTGCCACTGGTCCAAGCAGCAGGCGGACGTCCTCGAGATCGTAGAGCAGAAAACGAGCATCGAGGACCAGATGGAGAAGGAGAAGGAAGGCCGTCCTGGGAGATTCCTGTATGTCGCAGGGGCCCCTGGTAGCGGTAAGTCAGCAGTCCTCCTGGAATCGGCCTTGGCAGCCGCTGGCCGCGGTCTGGGCGTGGTGATTGTGTGTCCGACTGGGCAGCTCGTGCACAGCTTCAAATCCCAGCTGCCGGAGGCGGACCACGTCGAAAACATTCGCGTGGACACTATCCACGGCGTTCTTAATTACAAACGGCCGGACAAGGATGGCAAAGTTCGGTGGTCGCCGCCTTCTGCGTTGCGGAAAATCGACCTCATACTCGTGGACGAAGGAAGCCAGTATACGGACACGGAGTTCGAGCGCTTCTTCAAGACCCTGTGCGAGCAGCCGCACTCGCCTTTCTGCGTCATCGTGGCGGATTTCCAGCAGCTCACGCCAGTCCGCATGGGGGAGAGGGTCACGGATGCCCACGAGCCAAGCTTTTGCCAGCGATTGTGCCGCTGCTGCCCCACGGTGACCTTAGACACGGTGTACAGGTCGCAGGACCCCGAGCATTTGCTTTTCTTGAACCACATCAGAGAGACTCAGCCGACAATGGACACGCTTCAGGATTATTTCCATCGCAGGCAGTTCCGGGGCACGCTGGAGCAGACCGTCGGGTACACTCTGGAGTTCGAGAAACAAGGTGGCCCCCCGATGACTTGGCTTACATGTACCAATGCTGGCGCCCAGGCAGTTGCGCAAGCGGCCTTGCGGCACAAAGGTGTCACAGACGATGATTTGCGAACAGGCTTCCGGGCGGATCCAGCAAGCAAGTGCTCCGTTCCCATCCTCGCCAAAAGAGGTCTCGTCATTCGTCTCACGCGTAATCTCGATAAAACCCGCGGCTTTGTCAACGGGGCGATCGCAGAGGTGGTGGAAAGTTTGGATGGCAATGCTGTATTTGTTGCTCGCTTACGCGGAACTGGCAACATGCTTCTCGTGCACCCATTGTACGAGAATAAGCAGTGGTTCTTGCCGTGTTGTTACGGTTATGCCACCACGATCCGCAAAGCGCAGGGCGCTAGCATCGACTCCGGGGTCATTTGGTTTGACCAGAAACGGTTCGCAGCTGTGCGCGGGTACGCATACGTCGGGGTCTCCCGCTTCCGCCACAAGGCCGGCTTATTCTTGTTTGGTAAGCTCCGGAGATCTGACTTCCTGCCTGTCGGGGGCCAGGGCAGGCAGGAGCAGGTGGCGCGCGGCGTTGCTTCCCAGGATACGGACTCTGACGACTCCAATGACGAACCCGGACATGTGGCGCATGGGGGCTACCCAGACTCCGACTCAGACCCTCCGTGTGGTTCCGACGATGCCAGTCTACCTTCTGCTGGCGAGGTCCACGAAGACTGGTCGGACACGCCCATGGCCGCTCCTTCTTCGGACCGCTCTGCGGCGAGCTCTGACCAGCATGGCAGTGAAATAGAGCACTTGTTGGGATGTTCTGCCAGCTCCTGCGACGGCTCTGAGTGCTCTGAGCAATGCGTCAGTGAAGTGGCATATTTGCTCGGTTGTTCAGACAGTTCGCCTGGCGAGTCGGAGGTTGACCAGCAGTTGAAACACGATCTGCATCCAGACGCACTGCCTGGCGGCCAGCTTCTTGGCGACTTACTTCCAGAAGAGCATCCTTCTGACGACGTTCCTTAGTTTTCTGTGGACGCGCTCGTCGCGTACTCATCGATGCAGCGCGGTCTCTTTGTCGCCGTCGTCTCCGTGGCCGTTGCCGCCGGCGGCCGTGGCACCGTCATCTTCCGCTGCCAAGCACTGCGCTTTTTATCAGCACACACAGCGCATGGAAAAAAATCTGCCCCGCTCCTCCTCCATCCACTTGTCTCCTCTCCTTGCCGCCCCCTGGCATTCCACCCCTCTCCTTCCCACTTCCCATATACCTCCCTCACCCTCACCCTCACCCCTCCCCTCCACCTCCCTTGGGAAGAGTACTTTATGCGAGTGCCCAGCAGACAAGCGTATTGTTATTCGCCGAGGCCCCCCTGCCCCCCCGGTGCCCCCCTCTGAACATTGGCCGCCACAGCACATCTCTTGAGCTTTCAGGGGGGACCCCCTGGCGAGCTTCCCTGAGGGCCCTGCCCAAACACCCTTCGCAAGATTGGCGTTGCGCGGCCCCGCAGAGGACAGCGCAGCGCAGCAGGATTGAAGAGGGGGGGGGGTGAAAGGGGTCTACGTGTCAACTTTGGAGTTCCACTTCGGGGGCGGCCTCTTAGCTCCGGGTCGATCTGTAGCGGGCCTCCCGGCTGCTGACCCCTGCAATGCTCATTCTGGCAGACACCATTACACTGCCCACTGGCCGTTTCAATATTGAAGAGGTGGGCGACAATGGCGCTCACGCTTTCAATTCCCGTCCTCTACATCCGGGCATGCTCGGAGTGGACCTTACCGCGCCAATTCCACAGAGGCCTCGCAACTCACCCCCCAGGCCGCGATTTCAGCCAACGAGGAATCTCACAAGGCAGCTAACGAGGCAGCAGACGATGTAGCCACCACGGTAGCCGACCAGGCAGCCAGCGAGGCAGGCAACCAGGGACCCAATGAGGCAGCTCACAAGGCGGCCAACCAGGCAACTGACGAGTTGGCCAACAAGGCAGCCGAGCAGGCAGCGGACGAGTCTCCCGACAGCGCAGCCAACAAGGCAGCCAACGAGGCACTTGACCAGGCAGCAAACGATGCAGCCAACCAGGCATCCAATCGGGAAGGCTGTGGAGCTGATGGGCAGGCGGCCGACGACGCAACCGCAGGGGTGGGGGGGTCCTACCATGGACTTTGCGCGCCCGAGTGCTCGCAGGCCATTCACATCGCACGCGTGGTGGCGTCGTGGATGCAAAAACATCATACCAGAAATAGCATGCCGTCTCTGGATTGCGGCATAGAGCAGCATTGGGCGGAAGAGACTCGCACGGGATATCCATTTCGGGGCTGTCCGTTGCATCCTGCTATGACAGATTGTCCCGGCTGGCGCGCCCGTGCACTTTTATCGTTTTTTCAATCGTTCGATAGCCG